CAATGCTAAGGAAGTGTCGGACGTTAAAAAGTTTTACTTAAGCGGTGAGTCCAAATAAACGATTTTTGCACCTAAAAGTAATTTTGTTTAAGAGAATTAAAAATCTAGTTTCATAGGCTTTTGATCGAATATAATATATGTATAGGGCATCAACCTGAAGCTCATTGTTTCAAGTTTCACAGAGATATGTCATCGTTGCTCATTCTAGCATCATAAATGGTTGCCATCCTTTGATATAAAAAAGGGGGAACCGGGGCTAGTTGGCCCCCTAGACTCGGGGCAAGTTGGACCCTCATATTACCCACAATCCTTTGTGCGCAACGCTGTTTGAAATAAACAAGTTCGTGAAATTGACATGAAATTGATTGTATGTATTAAAAAGTAAATCCACTGGACTTTCCTTAGAAAAACATTTATTTTGCCTTAATTCATTTTAAGGGGATTCCCTTTGTATTTATAGTGTTATATGTGGCCCCAAGGGGATTTTCCACCCCTGCCTAGATAGAGACCATTGTTGAAACAAACTCAATGGTTTAAAACTGAATTTGTTACTTTCTTTTNGCCCCTCTGACGTCAAACGGTTTTTTTGTCAAATTGTGAGCCATCCTGCATTATATTTGAAAATAATGACGTTGCATACGTAGCTTAGTTCATGAGGCTTACTTTGAAAGGGGTTTTGTTACTCTAACCCATTCCTAGTTGGCTCTACAAGGCCAAAAGTGTCTGACTCCCCTAAGTGTCTCCCCTAAGTGTCGTTCATAATCTTTTCAGTTTTGGACGCCATCTTTTCCACATAAATGCTTCTAAGAGAGGGGGGATCCAACCCCAAGATTCTTCGGCACGTATCTGCAAGTACCATCTGATCTATTGTTCTCCTCCTCTTTGGCTCGATCACAAATCATGCTGTTATGGCGAAAGTTAAAACACTTTCAGTGCATCTATAAAATCTTTACGTGCTACCAGTATGTAAATGGAGGAAGAGCTGTCCCTCGCTTTACCAGTGACCAAAATCATGATGATGAAACCCTGTGAGAAATACATTGCACACATAATTGCACATTTATAACAGCTGATACTCTCAACTACCACATTTCACAGCATTGCAGAGAGCAGACGACACGGTCGTTTGAGGAGAGGCAGGTGCTCCAGACAGATGTTTTACTTGGTGACCATATATATAATTGTGATGGATGAGACAAGTTGTTTGCTACTGTGAATCGCAGCTCAACTTAAACTCAATTCAACTCAATTTTTTCACTAAAATGCGCACGTATTTGCATTTTAGTTCCCTGTCTACTGACTCGCACAGAAGATGCTTAGAACAGTATTATCGCAGTAGTAACATCTATGGTTGACTCTCGCATCACCGCCAACAGTAAATTGTTCATAAATATCTAAGATGGAGTGTTTCCTGCATGTTATAACACTAACACGAGATACTGTAATTTGTATGACTAGATTGTCATACATCAAGATGTATACCTTATATCATCAGGGCGTTGAGCGCAAAAAGATTTTCCCTTTTAACTGATGTTCAAAAAAATTAAACCTCCTTCTGGGAACGTTTAATATAAATTTAACAGGTCGTTTAGGTCATTTAACCATTGGTTGGTGCAAAACGCTCCTTATATAACATGGTTAAGGGTTGCATATGTTAAACGCTGGATTTTAACGTCGGTAAGGGCTAAACGCCTTAAAATACCTGAATCCAAAATTTTCCCGAATTTACAAATTCAGCTGAAGATTCAAGGGCAGACAAAGCGGGCACTTGACCCTTCCGTAACTTGTGTTAACCCTTTCTATGAGAAATATAATAAATTAATTAAGTAAAGTATCTAAAGTATCTAGGTGGTATGCAGAGTGCAATGTNTAGGCAGAGTGTAATGTTGCTAGGGTCAGCTGTGGATGGCCTACATATCTAGGTGGTAGACAGAGTGTAATATTGCTAGGGCCAGCTGTGGATGGCCCACAGTATCCAGGGCACGGCAGCTGGTAAGTGCTGTCTCCCGAGGCATTGATCTAGGTGTTGACTAGAAGTCTTAATTTTACAAAGACCCCCAAATTTGTTTTTCAAAATTCCCTGTAGAGGGCCCAATCACCCCCCCCCCCCGCCCCTGGTGCTCGGGGCTGGTGTAGTCGGTAGAAGTGGTAAGGGTAAATCTACAGTAACACTGTACTAACGAAGTAATAAAGCATCAATCCTATGATGCCGTCGGTAGAACCACTCTTAAGCAGAGAAATAAGTGTCAGTGACCCTTTCGTCTGTATTCCCATTAATATGTACTGTACTTTAGATTACTAAGGTAATTGGGACTTGGAAATCCAGGGCAAAAACAGGGAAAACGAGAAGAAATGTGCATGTTCTAGAGAACGACCCCGGACAGTCAAATATTCAGAAGTGAAAAAATGTCAGAATTCAAAAGATTACCGTTTGAGTTCCCCTTCGTGGTTGTTCAGGACAAAAATGACTGATTGTAAGGGAAGACAAAATTGATAAAATAGTCAATGAGTGCTCCCTGCACCAACCTTTACTTGGAGGAGTTCACATGTTTTCTCATCCCTCATTTTTCAAATAAAAATGCATTGCCTATCGGTTTGGCAAGGGAAAAGAAACCTTAATACTGTTATATGCTTTAAAACTGGATTTGGCATTTTCAACCCCTAAAAAATTAAAAGGAAGAAAAATCTGGAAGATTCTGAAATTCGGCCACTAGGCTCGTTAAACATCTTATGATGAATGTTAACAAAAAATCCACTCAGCTCACCGAGCTTGCCGTTGTTTACAGGGTGTCGGCGCTATCTATCAATTTTAGCCGGATTAATGCTATAAATAACTGATGATCCAATTACGCGCCACTAATAATGTTCCTGATGTAAAATTGCATTTCGCTTAATCTTGATTCGTGGATGTAGAGTTTCTCATTAGAACTACTGAATTAAAGATTGGCAATGTGGGTTTTTGTTTGGATATTTATTAACATCAGATTTAGTGAGGAGAAGAGGTTTGTATTCATTTAAAGAGTAAATTTGGCAGTGTATGTGTTATTGTAGAGGTCTATCAGAGATCGGACGTAAAACGCTCGGACTGACAATATTTTGTAAACTGTTCTTTTTTTCTCGCTGTTTTTATCAGTAGATAATGCCTGGTAGATAATGTCTGCGAAGTCTTCAACTAGTCTGTACAAAGGTTTCATGTGCATGAACAAATATGATCATGTACCTAACCTACTGAACGGCCACAAGCCCGGTCCGCGCACACTATGTGTAAGACACCTCTATTGCAAAACTATGAGATTCCTGGTAATTTCAAGTCGATGGGAATGTATTTTTTTAAATGTTCACAGTACAACGATCCATATAAACCAGTTTTTGAGTTCTACGTTTCAAAGTTTATGAGTATCTCTCGAAATGGAGATTGAAAATGGTGAATTGCAGTCCTAACTGTAAAACTTGTGTCTAGAACGCAACAACTGTATGCTTTAATTTCTTAACAGTTTTGGGAAGGGTAAGTTATAAAGTTAAGAAACGATTGTATAATCTGCAACCATGTTACAATTTCCCCTATTTCTCAACATTGACTTGTTTAATATGAAAAATTCCATCTAGAATGAATACAAAATAGCTATGAACGCACAGGGCACATCAGTGCCACGCTCTGACACTGTGACTGTCTAGTGTGCGTGTTGGATTAAATATTAGGACAGGCAAAATCAAGTCTACACAAATCTTGTTTACTTTTATTTGTTTTTGCTTCATTTATTTATTATTTTTATTTGGGTTCAACGAATTTTCAAAAAGTGCTTTCCGTGGAGAAGAATGGGCCAGGTCAACACTGGAGGTCTCGCACACTCCATGAAGAGAGTCCACTAGCCTGTATCACAGCCGGGGGAGGGGACACATGTTACTGAACAATATACTACCGTGTATGCAACACCATTGTATGCAAAACCATATTAAAACTATAGATATTTAAAAACTTGTTTTTCCTTCTTTGCCTACACTGTAATATATCTAGACGTAAAGGCAAGTTCGACTGCAGCATGATGCATCGTTGTAATTAATCAACCAGCATAGAGCATACGTATATTTTATTCTTCTCTATAAATAAATAAATAAATCACATGCAAATGTTTGGTTCTTCCTCTACTTGTTAATATCTCGACATGACCCGGTGATATGTTTAAAGCAACGTGGAACTCAGAGTTGTGAAAGATGTTCTTCCCTGGAGAGGAGGAATCTACTAGTTCAGTTATCGAAAAGAATTTGGTTTTCTATCGATTCATACATAAATGTTTGTTCACAAATGTTTGTTCACGCACCTGGTAACTGAAAAAAGTAATACATTTCTTGCTTCTTCATTTGAATATATTACACTTTGTTATACGCTCTTTCAGACTTGAACGGTAATTCTGAATTCTACGTGTCATTCCCCTTCAGTGAGAGGGATAACAATTTTTTATTTTGGCGGGAAAAGTGCCATAAAAGATTTTACTGAGGTAAACAACGATGTTCTCATACTAACCGATGGTAAATGACTCCGTTTTGACATTCAAAGTTAGTTGATTGTTTTTTTGAAAGTGTCTCTTAAGACGGTATTGCGGAGGGTAGCCTTGTAAGACGGTCCACATGGTCTGATGGCAAGCATAGATTTCAGAATAATTGCAATAACCGCCGTTTTGGTGGTAAAATGGAATTTATTATATGTCTATGTGTTGTTTACAATGTATTTAGTATGGCATTTTTGAATCTCATTTGAAGTGTTGTTAGAACTTTATCCCTCTAATATTTACATTGTGCATGATGCGTCAAAATGGCATGCCCTCTGAATTCCTTTTAATATATAGATATCGGGTCACATACAGATTCAGGGGTTGACACTTCTATTGTCCATTGTGTGTATTTGTACTTTTTGTTCCATTAATGAGCTCATTAGTGTTCCACATGGAAAGTGTACATTAGCACATCAATATATCATGAAGTGATGTTACGTTACCCGTATGATGCGGAGTGAAAAAGCGTTAGTTAATTTCGTTCTTGGGTAAGTTGATCTCGATCCACACATTTGAACAACGACTACCCAAGATGAGGTGGTTCTTGCTTCGTCGTGCGATACTGGGTTTTCTTTGTTTTAGTTTTTGCCTTTTTGTCATCTCATTCAGCGTGAGAGGTAAGACCCTCGTCTCTCTCTCTCTCTCTCTCTCATGAACAGCAGCGGCAACAACAAAAATAATGTCTATGAGAACGATTATTATTCCAGTAAACATGTCAAGGCGATAATTTGAACACTTTTCAATAGCTAAGGCGGAAAATATAACCATAAGACATTTACGGTCTGAAATATTAAATTTTATATTTTAAAAGACACTTTATTAATTCTAGGGTGTGTTGCGCGTGATACTACTCACTTTAAATGTACAGGTGGAAAGCATAATCATCACGCGTCTGAAATATTTAATTTTACACTTTAAGCTGCATTTAATGAATTCTAGGGCGTCTTATGCGTGATACTACTCATCTTAAGGTTGAGGAAAAGGTAGATCAGCTCGAGGCGACTACGATATCTATACAAGATATAATGGCAATGATGGGAAATGGACAGAGTGAAAATGACCAGGTAAGAAATCAGTGTAAAAATATCTATGCACCAAAGTGGACAATTTTGTACATTCCCTCCATCATACAATTAATAGGTTAGCGTGAAAAAGTTCTTTTATTATATCAAAACTGATGTGAATTCAAATACCTGGTGTTCGAGTGAAACAGAAAATTCCTTTTGCTAATGCTGATAAACAAAAAGAAAATATAAACACAGAAAAATAAATCAATCTTCAACAAATAGCACGGGGCGGGGCCCGCGGCAAACATTATCTTTCAGGAGGTAAATTTGGCCATATTTCCCTAAAAAGATAAACATATCTTGTTATGGTATTCCCAATGAGCTGTTAACATAACGAGGGCAGGGAGTACGTGGCACACGTCATAACTCACTAACCGTTTGACCAACATGAGGTTGTCTTTTACAAATTTCAATTAATTTTTGTAGCTCAGTCCCTTCGGTAGCACTCCAACGAATGTTATGCATATTGTATGTACATACATTGAAGAAAAGCATTAAAGGGATAATAACTCTTTATTTCACAATAAGATCTTTATTTCACAATAAAAACATTGTAACTCATAGAAATATAATATATTCTGCTTTACGACAAAAACAGCATTTAAAGCTATTATTCTGATATCTGAGCTTGTCTTCAGATCACATGACCTCCACTGATGGCTATACTCTGTTATAATCTCTTAAGACATTTTAACAAAAAACCAAACTTTTTAGAAAAAAAAACAGGTACTAACTTTGAATGTAAAAATGGATTCATTAACCATTGGTAAGTGAGAGAAAATTGTTGTTAACTCCAGGAAAATTCATTTTTTGGCCAAAACGAGGAGTTATTATCCCTTTAAGCATATGTAGATTCTTAACCTGTTCTCATATAGGCGGCCCACAGGTAGTGCAGTGCACTGTCCTGAGGGGACTCCCAGGCTTAGTGCCCTGTGAGAGGACATGGGACCTCGACGTCAAGCTGAGGGTACTATTTTTGGTAGAATGGATTTTATTTTTGGACGTGAGACGTTAAAAAAATCAGTTTTATTATTATTACTATTTCATGAAGTGGCACTTTCCTTTGTCCTCCCCGATACAAGAGAGTTAGCACTATTCCTTTGATTACGCCGATGTCCACCAAAGTATAAAAGTCAGCTTTCAGTTTTGAAGTATCTATATATTATCCTTTCTGACGTCATTACAAAGCATCATGTCTACCCGTGACACTCCTGTCCCATTGTTACGTCATCTCGACGCAAGGTCGCGCTGTCCAAGGAAAGTCCGTGGCCAATGAGAGGGCTAGAATTATTTGGCATAATAAAGTTAATGCAAATTTTAGGGAAATATTTTAAATATGTAATCGTATCTTTGATTATAGATCTACATAATCGGTAGGTTATGATGGATCGAACGCTTTGTTTTTTGCCTTTATGACTTTGCTATCAGTGCGCACACCTGGGCCATTGATTGACTATAGGATTTGATATTGGTATAAACTGATCAATTCATCGGAAATATACGGGGCGGTGTCTTCCAGGATCGAACGCTCTATTGATCCCTTATTAACAATCCCCACCAACGATGGAGTGGGCGTTTTATTTAATAGATAAAAGGAGCACACCTGGATCGGTAAATATTAAAGGATCAAATTAACAGTTGAACTTTAATTCAGCTTCGAATCGGGGTCTCGATTCCTCTCACTGGGCACTATTTTTCGTATTATCCTCATACTGTACAAAATTTGTTTAATAACTTAATGACCTACATGTATAAATGCCCTTGTGGTAGACACGAAAGTGTCATTCAATTTAATTGTCCATGGTAGCTGACCAAACAGAGGCCTATAACTACCAGTACCACTGTATGTACCCTGAGACTCAATGAGGATAAACATTTATTATGATGCCATTCCCATTTCCCTGGATTTGAATTTTTATTACAATAATTTTTTGTTCAAAATATAACAGAAATGACACAAGTCTCGGTTAGTGCTTTGACCATATCAGATGGTGCCTGGAATTTCGATTCCGAATGTATGTCTTTTATGTGTGCCTCAATTGAAAGGAGTCTCTGAGACTAGTTTGCTGTCAATTTTTAAAACACATGTTGTTAGTCGAAAATGTAATTTTATTGACATTTGTTCTTTGATTAATACACAAAGTACGAATTATAAATACAGGTACAGACAGTTACATATGATTCTGCGATTGATTATTATGTATAAGATATAATTATAGTTTCAGCAAAGATAAATTATCAGCCCTTTTGAACGTGAAACCCAGTTACAAACATATATGTAGGTGTGTGTACGCGCACGTGTGTGTGTGTGTGTGTGTGTGTGTGTGTGTGTTTGTGTGTGTGAGAGAGAGAGAAAGAGGGAGACTTACATTATGATTCAATGCCTTCAAAATGTACCTGTCGATCAAGCCAAGTGTATAAACTATTATGGATCTAAACGAGGTCAAGATAAACATCTGGTTTTATGGACAGTGTGCCCGTGTAAGGAGCACCAAGATGTCAAATAATGCAGAACCTCTTATAACTTTCAGCAGAGCGAATTGGATGATGACGTAATTCCCGAAGAATGGCTTGAGGAAATACGAAGAAGAAAGAAACTTGTGTCCGAGGCATGCGAGAAGTTTAAAACTGTAAAAATACCTCTGACAAAAGAATGGATTGAAGAAAACGGCGACCATCTCATCGTAGAAGACCAGTATAAAATCATTTATTGCCGCGTACCTAAATCTGGGAACACAAGTTGGAAGCGCTTATTGCTAGCACTGTCTGGTATTATAAACGATACTTCTATGGCTCATGGCAAAAACGGATTAAACCCCCGTGATTCGGTTGAAAAATATTTGCATACGTTGGATACGCTGTCGTTTTCGGAAGCAAAACAAAAACTTAAGACCCACTTGAAAGTAATGTATCTTAGGCACCCCTTAGAACGATTACTTTCTGCATATCGTAATAAGTTGGAAAGAGATCCTTGGACACATGATGGTGTCTCTTCGCAAGTGGTTCCATACGTTATGAAGCACTATCGCGGTGTAGAACCCATTCTTCCCGTCAGTGTTAGCCAAAGCCGTGGACGGATATCTGGTGTCCTTCCATCTGGAGAAGAGTTCAGTTTTCCAAAAGACAAACCTCCAAGTTGGGTACCAAAGATTACATTTGAAGAATTCCTTCGTTACGTTGGTGACAATCCAAACTTTCTTAATGGTCATTGGGCGCCCCCAAACGATTTATGTCACCCATGCGTCATTCAATATGACGTCATAGGGTATTTTGGGACAATAAGCGAAGATGCAAACAACATTTTGAAACTAGTGCATGCGTACCCAGCATTCAAATTTCCAAATATGTACCTTAATCCAGAAACAACGTCTGATTTGTTGAACAGATATTATTCAACAGTATCAAAATCGACGTTGCAGAAAATTCGTCCAATTTACGCTCTTGATGCAGCAATGTCAGCAGCTAATCTACGTATTTAGTAAAAGAGGCATTTGAAGTTGATTTTTCGCCACAAAAGCCAGCCAAATGCCACCAAATCCAAATAGTGTATCTTAGAGGAATATCAAAATATATCACTTAATATTAACTGAAAAATGATCTTTGAAAGTATTTTTCTGCTTGCTTTCTGTGCTGTAAATCAACGGGGCAGATACCAGTAGATAGGCTAGATAAGTAGGTCAAATTTGCGACACATTTAAATAATGTGCAGTTTATAGCTCTTTTTGGCTCATCGTGTGATTAGTTCATTAAATAAATTGAATAATTTTTCATCCTTTGGCATGTAAATATTATTTGAATTGTATTAAAAAGCAGTAGAAGGAAAACGCTTTATAGGCGTTAATGAGGATTCACGTTCCACAAACGTTCGGTTCAAATGTGCCTTTAAACTGAGTTTGCTTTCTGTTAGCACGTTATTGTATTTAGATTGTCAACCATCTAGGGACAGAAGGCCAAGCATGGGGAGAACCTCACAGCAATGCCTGCACTAACTTTTCTTGGTCAACGACCAAAATACGCTGAGTCAATGTCACATTATGACGGCGTTTTGATGTTGCTGGATCAACATTGATTTGATGTTGAGTTTAGGTAGTTCAACGGCGATTCAACGTCCCATCCTGTTTTCAACGTTGATCCAATGTCACTATGCCTGCTGGGTCAATATCGGCATTATAAATGGATAAATAAATACGGAATTTAAAAGAACATATATCTTGTTATATATCTTAAATGAAACTGGTTTTATTATCTGAAACTAAAATGGATGTAAATATTGCTGTTTGCAGAAAAAACAGAAAAGCAGCAAACACATAAATAGGCCTACACACACTTTATATGTACATCTACACATATACCCACACTTTATATACATCTACACATATACCCACACTTTATATACATCTACACATATACACACACTTTATATACATCTACACATATACCCACACTTTATATACATCTACACATATACTGAGTACGACAATGAATAGGAAGCCTTATAAAATAAAGGCGCCATGAATTAATAAATTTTAGTTTTCATTCCGTGTTTGATTGTCCTATTTTTTCCCCAAGACCCGTGCATGCTGATCAAACGTTGATTTCCTATTAATTATTAAAGGAAAGGTCATTGACGTTTTTATTCTATTTTTTTTTTTAATTATGGATATAATTTTATCACAATGCCTGAATTGATACTGAGTCATGATTATTTCCAACTTGCCAAGTTTCATCCAGATCAGATGATAATTGGCAATATTGTAGAGTTTTAAACAGTCATTAAGATAGACTTCTGCGAAAGAGGGTTCATGACTGAATGGAATGTTAGTCTCATTTCAATTGTTAACAGCAGTTTCCACGTCTATATAAGGGCAGGAACCACCAAATAATTTTCATTTGACGACCATACTATGAAATATTTATGAAACTGCCTGAACAAATAATTTGATGAAATATTCCTTATCCCATAACATAACTCCTAAAGACACAAAAATACACTGTTGAAGTACTACTTTTTTCACCGTCAGTACGTGGACACGTGCAGCCTCACCACTGCACCTCTCATTGTCAGTATAGCTCATTCCGCCAGAGGCCCCACACTGCACGACACCTGCACTGTGAAAACAGTGTTCAGCTCCTTAACACATTTCTAAGCGCCTGTTTTGTCTCATTTTTTCGACGCATTTAGCTCCTAAGCACATTTAGCTCCTTAACATGCTATAACATGCTACACGCTTTTAGACCAAATGACGCGTTTGACGCCTAACAAATGTAGGGTGTAGTTGTTAACTTTTAGGCGTTAAGGGTTTCAACTGTTTTAGTCACACACACACAAAGTCACGGCCACCTTTAACTGCTATAGCTTTATCTATCTGTAACAGTGTACCGTGAACTGTCAACATCGTTGACTTCCCACCATCATATTTACAGCTGGATTGATCCATCCTTGTGTTAGCTTAACTTGCGAGGGAGTTTATTAGAGTGTATTTCTGAAAAACAAGATAGGAAAATTCAGTAGTTCAATAAAGATACTAAACAACAGTCATTTTATTTTAAAACACCTTTTTTTCATATTTTGATAAAATGCGTTACGGTAGTGATGTCTATTTATATTTTCCGGAAGTAATGAACAATAGAACATCAGAATGATGGTGGGGTATTCATTATAATAGTCAAATTAAACTTTCATCACATGCTGGTTATTTCAGTACCGATAGTCCGAATATTCTACAATTCGCACCGCTCTAGTCGCCGACTAACCCCAAACCCATTTTGGAATTAACCGCTAACTGTGGTTCAAACAGCATAAGACGTGTTTTGGTTAATTATAAAAAAGGTTTTCAAAACATTATACGATGTTTTTCCAGAATGTTATAAAAACGCTGATACAACTCCACAAAATTTAATTTTGTAGATACGGTCTTCGAATCTTTCTACAAATTATAACGTTACTATGCATCATTTTGCATGGAGTTAAAAATACCCATAAATTAATATTCTTCTTGAATGTTCTTCTATACCATTACCAGCATGTAACCTGATAATGTCGTAAAGACGTTATTTGTTATTTAGATTATTACTTAAAGGTACATATGAACCGAGCATCGGTGGAGCGTGGGTTGCCAGTAACACATATAAACCACTTCTACTAGATTCTTATACGACTCAAATAAAGTCGACATGCCAAAGGATAAACTAAATAAATCACTCGATCAGCTATAAAAGAGCTTTAGACTGTTCTTTAAATGTTTGGTCAGAAATTTAACCTACTTATGTGACCTACTTTTCTGCCCCATGTACAGGATATATACAGGATAGTAAGCTAGCAGAAAAATCCAATCAAATATCATTTTTCGGGTAATATTAAACAATACCTTCTGGCAATTTTCTTAATTATACTGTCTGAAACTATATGCTGGCATTTGGTTGGTTTTTGTGGTAAAAAATTGACTTTGTATGCATCTTTAATAGGCCTATTTTAAATAAGCACACGGTACTGCAAGGATGGACACAAAGCGTTCGAGCAGGCTGCTCCACGCCTTCAACAGCTCAACACGTTTACAAGGGAAAGTGTTAAGCCAAATTGTAGAGCCTTGTAATAAACTTATGGGACCGGTGAAACTAATCACATAGCTAAAAGTGCGACACTTCTAAGCATGTCAAACATTTTTATTTCTTCTGAAAGAAGCTTGAAAAACTAAACGTGTTGTTCAGCTACCCTCTACCAGGGCGACAGATTGATTTTTCACAGATATTCACAGATATGTCTCTAGATAAGAAGACAGTCATTTGGTCTGATGTCGCCTCAGCAAAAAATGTCCACAATAACTGCGGCCCTGGTAGAGGGTATTGTTCAGCAATTTGTTTAGTAATTCCACACCTATAGCAGTTCCATATGTTTAGCAGCCTCACTAGCTTAACAGGGGAACTGCTTAGCCAATGTCCTTATAGCTTGTGATAGACTTATTATAGATTCATATACCGGTGAAGCTAAACACATAGCTAAACGTGTAACACTGCCAACGTGTCTAGCTTTTTCTTATGTGAAACGCTTGAAAAGCTTTATGTGTTTAGCTTTTACACATATTTCTAAATACGTTAAGGTGCCTAATACGTGTGTTGTATGTATTTAAATGCTAAACACTGTTTTTACAGTGTGTGCCTGGTCCTGAAAAAGAAATAGGTAGTATATGTAGTTTACACCTTGAACTGCTAGTTGACACCAAAACTAACTCTAGCAAAAAACAAGAAATATCAGGAAAAAATTGGAAAAATCACTAACTTATCTCACAGCATTACATTCGTATAACAGTCCGCGACTGGTCCATTTGGTGGATTCTGACCTTTACTAAGCTGTTAGTGCAACAAAAGAATGTTTTAATTTCCTAGTGTAATTTTTAAGTTAAAAGAGAAACAACGTAGATTTATAACAATGAACTGATGTCAGAGTGTATAAAAGTTCATGAACCACCAGTCAGCATCACAGCTGGTTTCATAAATAATTGTACAGGTAAAGTCTCAAATGTCCACCACTATCGCTTATTCAATGGATTGCACAATAAAGGTACAATTTAACTACAGGTGGATCATTGATAGATCATTATATTATATTTTTGTTTCTCAAAACATCATTTTAGATACAGGTGTTAGCTAGTAAGCCACAGTTAAATTGTTAACCACTGTCATCAATTTGTTTCCACATCTGTAAGTCATCTGTTAGTGCAACAAAAGAATGTGTTTTTATAACCTCATGTTATTTAAGCCAATGGATGACTACAAGCCCTAACACCGTAGATTTATTTGAATTTACTGATATCAGAGTGTTTCAAAGTAGATAAGCCACCTGTAAGCATCACAACTGGACTCAGAAATAACCCAGCAGGCATAGTGACGTTGGATCAACGTTGAAAACGGGTTGATACGTTGAACTACCGTTGGTCTACCTAAATTCAACGTAAAATCAACGTTGATCCAGCCACGTCAAAACACCGTCATAATGTGACGTTGACTCAACCTTGTATTTTGGTCATTGACTCAACGTTGTTGTTTGGTCGTCGTGATGCAAGACATGGATTGTAATTTAAAATATTAATTATTGAAAATATGATACTTTGTTTATCAATACTGTAACTAACTTTATCAAAATATTTAAAAGTGTTTTAAAGTAAAAGTGACAGTTGTTTTGTGTATTTCGTGAACTAGTGAATTTTCTTAACTTGTTATTCAAAAATACATTCCAATAAATTTCCTTGTAAGGTCAGCTAACTCTAGAATGAATAAGTCGCTGTAAATGTGATGGAGAGAAGTTAAAAAATTTAACAGTTGTCAGTACCCTGTTATAGATAGACAGGTTGAGGTGACTGTGATTTTGTTATATATATGTATATAATTATTTTCAATGTTGTTATCTGACGTTGATCCAACTTTCAAAACCAACGTTTATCCAACATCTTATCAACGTTATGGTTCAAATTTGTTTCAACGTTAAAACAACATAATTTGCCCGCTGGGAATTGTCTAGATAAAGGCTCAATTATACAGCACTGTCTCTTATTCCTTTGACTTCATGCAAATAGTACATTTAAACTACTGGTGGTTTAGTTAATATTTGACAGATCATTTTAAGCATCAGTTACGCAAAACATCTAATTAGACCCCTAGATTTTGTTGCAAGCATCATTATTTCATAAATTCAAGCTGTATCATTGCAGATTAAAAATTCATCCCTACATGTGCAAAAGAATGATCACACGCCATTACATTACATTACATTGCACACTTCCTGTGGATTTTAATGGATTTATAATTATGGTCCCTGTAAATGAATGGGTTCTTTTCATTACAGATTGTGTTTAATACAAAAACGTTCATAATTTTTCACGTTACACTCAATTTCGATTTTTTACACAAATTTCTTTACTGCGCCTAGGATCCAGTAATTCATATCAATAGAGGGAGTGCTCCCCACGTGCACGATAACGGATAGGCAGCAGGACACTCTGGCTTATAGTGCCACCAATCTTTGCTTTGGGATACAAAGCAGGGCTTTTGGTGGGTTGGATTGTGAGTAGAATGTTGTTGTCGTTTATAAAATCTCTTACCAAGCGATTTGGGGTAGCATTATCTTGCTGCAAGCGAAAGTTGCCATAGAATATTGCACGTGCAAATAGGATCTAATGATTTTGTTAGATATTTCTGTACGCCACGGCTTTAAAGTTTTCTTCCAGAAGAACCGATTGGCTGGCCCCAATGGAACAAAAACACCACAAACATGGACAGAACCGCCCCCTGCAGCCTTATTTCTTGTACATTTTGTAAGCTATTTTGTCAGCACACCGTTTTTGTAATGTTTCGTTTATCTTTTTCACTGCTAAACGTTGAGGAAAACAAACATTTTTGACCATAATCGGCCCATATTATTTCGCCAGCTTTGGTCTAGATCAGTGATTCATTGTTATCCTTTCACATAACGGATTGATGAAATGGACAGATTCGCTTTGAATTCGAACCCGATCGAGATACTCAGATAGGTTGACTTGTTTAATGTAGTTGTTCTTTTTTAAATAATTCATTTAAAGTCTAAAATCCATCTTTGTTCAATTGATTTTTCAATTGGAAGATAAAATATACGATTTAAGTTAAAGTAAAACAATTAAACAAAAATTAAGTGAAAACACCGCCAATTCCACAGGTATATATCAGGGGTTTAGTCACATGGCATTTTAAGGTCACGCATTGAAAATCGCAAAAGAAACCAAAACAAAACTGCATTACTTCAAATACAATAATCTAAAATGCTGTTATTCACACTTGCCCTGCGTTTAAAAGGATGTCAGTTTTTCACTCTGGTGGGAAAAGTGCCATAAAACGGATTTTCCTGGTGTTATCGGCAATTTCATCATATTTTACAATTGTCAACGGATATTCAGAATTAGTGGATTGGTCTTTTCAAGTGTTGTGTCATAAGAGGTTATTACGGAAGGTAGCCTTCTATGAAGGTCCACGCAGTCATTGACTGAGTTTCGTTCAATGATTATCTTTATTTCTTTGCAAAACATTTTAAGATGTGTTCACTAATCATTTAACAGGATTCTCACTGGTTTGAAAAGCTTAATTTATCTAATTCAATGAAGAAGATTCAAAGTAAAACAATGAGAAAGTTAATATTGATGGCATGGAATGTATTGTAGATTCCATTTAATATATAGATATCAGGCCACAAATATGTAATTTTGTATAACACAAATGAACCATTTACTGTCCCGCATGGAAAGTAAAAATAGTAATCATGAAATAATTTAATAATCGTATGATGAAATGGCTGTGGTGCATTTCCTTCATCAGGTAGTTGGCTTTTCGATCAAAACATTAGGAAGACGACTTCCCAAGATGAGGTGGAGTTTGCGCCGTCGTGTGGTCCTGGGTTTCCTTTGCTTTGGTTTTTGTCTTTTTGTCGTCTCATTCAATGTGAGAGGTAAGACCCCCTTTCGCGGCGGCTCTCTCTCTCTCCTACTTGTACAAAAAATCAAATATTGTCTTGTCCATACGAATAATTAACATTCCGAGGAATATGTTAAGGCAACAATTTGATCACTTTTCATTAGCTAGGGCGGAAAATGTAACAATCAGCCCTTTACGGTCTGAAACATAAAATTTTATATTTTAAGCGACACTTAATGAATTCTAGGGCGTCTTCCACGCAATACTTATCACCGTAAGGTTGAGAAAAGGGTAGACCAGCTCGAGGCGACGACGATACCTATAGAAGACATAATGGCAATGATGGGAAATGGACAGAGTGAAAATGACCAGGTAAGAAATCAGTGTAAAAATACCTATGCACCAAAGTTGACAATTTTTGTACATTGTGAACATTATACAATTAGTAGATTAGTGGGAAAAAGTCTTTTATATGTATTAAAACTGTGAAATCAAATATTTCAAGTTCAACTATAACTGAAAATCTCTCTTGCAAATATTGATAAACAAAAATAAAAGATAAACATGTAAAATAATTTTCAATATTAATACAATGTACAAGCGATATCTATAGTAACGATAACTAAGGCAGCATTAGGGCAAGTGCAGGCTCGAGAAGAAAATGTTTTGCTAGGGGCGGGGCCCGCGGGAAACATTTTCTTTAAGGAGCTTAATTTGGCCACATTTCCCAAAAAAATAAACACATCTTGTTATAGCATTGACAATTAGCTGTTATCATACCAAGGGTATGGGGTATGTGGCACACATACTTATTCACCAACCGTTTTGACCAACGTAACGTGATGTTGTCCTTTACAAATTTCAATTAATTCCCATTCCCATTTTCCTGGAGTGGAATTTTTAGTACAATATTTTTTTTTTGTTAAAAGTATAAAAGAAATGACACAAATCTCTGTGAGTGATTTCACTTTCCTTCACCCACCCATCAGAGGGTGCATGGAATTTCGATTCCAAGTCAACGTCATTTATGGAAACTAGTACGTGAAACCCAGTAACAATCATACATGTAGGTGTCCGCGCACACACGTGTGTGTGATTGTGAGTGTGTGTGCGTGTGCGTGTGTGTGTGTGTGTATGTGTGAGAGAGAGATAGACGGAGAGAAAGAACATTACTGCATTAAGATTCAGTGTCTCCAAAATATACCTGTGGTCAAACCAAGTTTAAAAACTACGGTTGATCTAAATTATGTCAAGATAAACATCTCGTATTATGGACAAAGTGTGCCAGCGTAAGGAGCACCAAGATGTCAAATAATGCAGAGCCTCTTATTACTTTCAGCAGAGCGGATTGGATGATGACGTAATTCCCGAAGAATGGCGCGAGGAAATACGAAGGAGAAAGAAACTTGTGTCCGAGGCATGCGAGAAGTATAAATCTGTAAAAATACCTTTGACAAAAGAGTGGATTAAAGAAAACGGCGACCATCTCATCGTAGAAGACCAGTATAAAATCATATATTGCCGCGTACCTAAATCTGGGAACACAAGTTGGAAGCGCTTATTGCTAGCACTGTCTGGCATTATAAACGATACTTCTGTAGCTCATGGCAAAAACGGATTTAATCCACGTGATTCGGTTGAAAAATATTTGCATACGTTGGATATGCTGTCGTTTTCGGAAGCAAAACAAAAACTTGAGACCCACTTGAAAGTTATGTATCTTAGGCACCCCTTAGAACGATTACTTTCTGCATATCGTAATAAGTTGGAAAGAAATCCTTTAATGCATGCCGATGTCTCTTCGCAAGTGGTTCCCTATGTTATGAAACACTATCGCGGTGTAGAACCCATTCTTCCTGTCAGTGTGAGCCAACGCCGTGGACGGATATCTGGTGTCTTTCCATCTGGAAAAGAGTTCAGTTTTCCAAAAGACGAACCACCAAGTTGGGTACCAAAAATAACATTTGAAGAATTCCTTCGTTATGTTGGTGACAATCAAAACTTTCTTAATGGTCATTGGGCGCCTCCAAACGATTTATGTCACCCATGCGTCATTCAATATGACGTCATAGGGTATTTTGGGACAATAAGCGAGGATGCTAACAATATCTTGAAACTAGTGCATGCATACCCAGCATTCAAATTTCCAAATATGTTCCTTAATCCAGAAACAACGTCTAATTTGGTGAATAGATATTATTCAACAGTATCAAAATCGACGTTGCAGAAAATTCGTCCAATTTACGCACTTGATGCAGCAATGTCAGCAGCTAATTTACGTATTTAGTTAAAGATGAATAAGACGTTTTTTGCCACAAAAGCCAACCAAATGCCACTACATCCAAATAGTGTAATTGGGAGGATTTTTTTGCTTGCTTTCTGCGCTGTATATAAATGGGGCAGATAAATAGGCTAGATAAGTAGGTCAAATTTACGAAAAATTTATTGAAGATGCAGTTAATAGGTCTTTTGTGGCTAGTCGTTTCATTACCTTTGTAGATCATAGTCGCTTGCCGCGCCCTTTTTCACTCCCTCTTTTGTATCTGACCTTTAAACTGAGTTTGCGTTCTGTTAGCACTTTATTGAAATTAGATTAGCAACCATCCAGGGACAAAGGGCCAAACATAGGTAGAACTTCAGAGCTATGCCTGCACTAACGACTGCTATGCCCATATTGATGGCGATGACAATTTTCCGGTAATTTGGCGTCCTTAATAAGGTGGGAGCAACAAAGTGGCGGGACTTATGAGGCTTCGGGAGTTGGGTACGACTTTGGCCTCAATATCGGCATTATTAATGGATAAATACATGTAAATACGGAATTCAACTGGAAATAATTGTCCAGATAAAGGCTCAAATTTCCAGTACTGTCTCTTATTCCTTTGATTTCATGCAAAAGGTAGACTAAAACTAATGGTGGTTAAGTTAATTATTTGATAGATCATTTATATTTTTAACACCTGTTACTCAAAACATATAATTAAATCCATAGATTTTGTTCCTAGCATCATATTTTCTTAAATGCACAGTAGCTGTATCATTGCAGATCGAAAATGTTTAATCCATTCGCTGTTATATTTAGAAAAAATAATCATTGACCATTACCATCTCATATTGGTCTTCACTCTTGGGTCTAGAACGTCAACATTTGCTCATCGTGTTTGTTGAGGTTCATTGTTATCCTCTCACATAACGGATTGATGAAATGGACAGATTCGCTCTGAATACGAACCCGATCGAGATACTTATATAGGTTGCCTTGTCTGATGTAGTTCTTCTTTTCTTCTTTATTTAAAGCCTTATGTTCAACTTTTCAATATGAAGATAAAATATACGATTAAAGCTAAAGTAAAGGAAAATGATTAAACAAAAAGATCTTAATTAAGTGTAAACACCGCTAATTATATACAGTATATCAGGTAACGTGGAGAGTAAGAAAATGTAACTAGTACAGGGCTTTAGTCACATAGCATTTCAAGGTAACTCTTTGAAAATACCAATATGAAAAATATGAAAATTTCACTAAGAAACCAAAACAAATCTGCATTACTTCAAGAATAATAATCCACTAAAACTGTTATATATATACAACTGATATGCTAATATTATGCACCGGCATTGCATGCAAAAGTATATCAAGACCATAAATATTTAAAGCTTGCGTTTCTTTCTTTGGCTTGTATACCTAGACGTAATGGCAAGATCGTCTGCAGCGTGATGCATCCCTCCAATTGGTCAACCAGCATACACTATCTATATTTTATTCTGCTCTAGAAAAATAGAAATCACTTGCAATTGTTTGACTCCTCCTCTGCTTGTTAAAATCTAAACGCCACCTGGCTGTCACTTTAAGTTTATTATATTTTGTTATACGCCCTTTGAGACTGAGAGGAAACTCTGAATTCTACATGTCGTCCCCCCTTAGTATGAGGAAGAACAACTCTTCATTTTGGCGGGAAAAGTGACATAAAAAGATTTTCCTGGGGTAACCAACGATGTTCTCATATTAACCGATGGTAAATGAATCCGTTTTGACATTCAAAGTTAGTTGATTGTTTTTGAAAATGTCCTTTTTGTAGAAGTCTCTTAAGACGTCATTATCGAGGGTAGCCTTGTATGTCGGTCCACGTGGTCTGATGGCTAGCATAGATTTCAGAATAAATGCGATAGCCGACGTTTTTAATGGAAAAATGGAATTTGTTATATTTCTATGTGTTGTTTGCAATGTATTTCATGTGTAATTTTGAATCTCACGTGAATTATCTCTTTAAGTGCCATAAATCTACTGTTTTCCATATATTGCGTTATCGGTGAAAAGTGCACAGCGACGACGACGCAGCTGCCGACAGATGCATGTGATGAGTATAAACAGACACACTGTTTCTGTACATACAAAGCAACATGGGCATAAACTAAAAGGTTTAAGATAATTCGTCCTTTTGTGGGTAACCAGTGATGTTTCAAATAGGTACGATGTGACTGTCACCACGTGCGCGGGTTAGGATCAGCACGAGCAGAGATATCTGGAATGCGCTGTAGACGTTGGAAGTTTTACTTGCAGACATCAGTACAGAAGAGAATTACAGTGATCAAATTGAGGTTATTTTATATCTAGACGTAAAGGCAAGTCCGTCTGCAGCATGATGCATCGTTCTAATTAACCAGCGAGCATACATACAGGTACATACATTTTATTCTGCTCTATAAATGAATAGACGTCACCTAGCGGTCACTTTAAAGCAACATGGAACTCAGAGTAGTGAAAGAACCGCAGATGTTCTTACCTGTACAGGAAAAATCTACCAGTTCAGTTTTTGAAAAAAATTGGTTTCTAGCGATTCGTACACAAATGCTTGTTTATGCACCTGGTATCTGGAAATAGTGCTACATTTCCTGCTACCTAATTTGAGTATATTGTACTTGGTTATACGCCCCCTCAGACTGAGCGGAGATTCTGCATGAATTTTACATGTCATCCCCCCCTTAGTATGAGGGAGAACGACTCTTATTTGGGCGGTAATCTCTTAAGAGGTTCTATGAAGGTCCACATCGTCCGATGGCAAGCACATATTTCAGAATAATTGCGATAACCGCCGATTTGATGGTAAAATGGAATTTATTATATTTCTGTGTGTTGTTTACAATGTATTTAGTATGGAATTTTGAATCTCATTTGAAGTGCTGTACGAACTTTATCCCTCTAATATCTACGATGTGTATGATGCGTCAGAATGGAATGCCCTCTGAATTCCATTTAATATACAGATATCGGGTCACATAGTTGTACTTTCTGTTCCATTAATGAGCTCATTAGTGTTCCACATGGAAAGTGTACATTTGTACATCAATATATCATGAAGTGATGTTACGGTACCTGTATCGTGTGGACTGAAATGACCATAGTTAATTTCGTTCTTGGGTGAGTTGAGTTCGATCCACACATTAGAACACAACAACAACTTCCCAAGATGAGGTGGTTCTTGCTTCGTCGTGCGATACTGGGTTTTCTTTGTTTTAGTTTTTGCCTTTTTGTCATCTCATTCAGCGTGAGAGGTAAGACCCTCGTCTCTCTTTCCCCCTTTCTCTCAAATATTGTCTATAGGGACGATTATTCGAGTAAAAATGTCAAGGGGGTAATCTAAACTCTTTTCAATAGCTAAGGCGGAAAATATAACCATAAGACATTTATGGTCTGAAATATTCAATTTTATATTTTAATCGACACTTAATAAATTCTAGGGCGTGTTACGCTTGATACTAGACACCTTAAGTTTGAGGAAAAGGTAGATCAGCTCGAGGCGACTACGATACCTATACAAGATATAATGGCAATGATGGGAAATGGACATAGTGAAAATGACCAGGTAAGAAATCAGTGTAAAAAATACCTATGCACCAAAGTTGACATGTTTGTACATTGTGACCATTACACAATTAGTAGATTAGTGTGAAAAAGGTCTATTATATGTATTAAAGCTGTGAAATCAAATATCTCAAGTTCAACTGTAATTGAAAATCTCTCTTGCAAATATTGATAAACAAAAATAAAAGATAAACATGTAAAATAAATTTCGATATTAATACAATGTACAAGCGATATCAGTAGAAACGATAACTAAGACAGCAATAAGGGCAAGTGGACACTAAGAATAAAATCGGAGTCCAAGTAACTCCAAACTTGGAGTCCACCAGTGGTGCCTAAAATAACTCCCAATTGGCGTCAAGTTGACTCTGATGGAGTAACGCCATCCCAGACCCCACAGGAGGGTCACAATTGACTGCATTCACACATCCCTTCATCCCTTGATTTATCTCTACAAAAGAGTCACCATGACCCCATACTAAGTAATTTTCGACTCCTTGGCCCATTGTAAAACGAAACAGCAACAATAATGCAAAGCGGGGAGAGAGCAGGCACCGTTTTTCAAAGACCGACTTGTCCCGACGGAGAGTTGAACCCACGTCCTCCTGCTTCGGAGGCGGGCACTCTAACCACTAGACCATCCGATTGCATATGACATAGGAAAAGCAATAACGAACAGTTTGTAAATCTGGTAATAAACAGCATGACATATATATATATATATATATATATATATATATATATATATATATATATATATATATATATATATATATATATATATTCCCAGTCCAAGAGCAACTGAGCTGCCGCTAGGGGGAATTTAGACACACCGGAAGTTATAATATTTTGAATCGAGTAAAATTCTGAAGATTTACAAGGTGTCAGAAACGGTGGAATATCTGGACTGCTAAGCCACTGAAAGTAATGTTATGCATTTTCTCATTAAAAAAAATTAAATTTCGATGGGATGCATTTTGAGTTGATCTAGGTCCGATTTTGTGTAAAAAAATGAGTTTGAAATCGAAATTCTGTGAAAGCAATTACAAAAGTTCAACTTTACCCCTAATGTTTGTACCCTTAGAGGTCTCGTGCCAACTTGAAATTACACTAAATTGTGGCAAATTTATTAATCTTTTTGCCATAGTAACCATATAGGGAATTATTCATTAAGCCAGAAGTGTCTTTATTCAATCCACAGTCGTGTCACACCAAGACATGGCACTCGTAAGATCCGTACAGTGGCCTCGTTTGCACTATGTGCATTAAAGGACTATCCAGCCTCGTTTGGTTTTTTTTTGTACGCTGGAACACAATCAATAGCCAGACTTTGACATACTGATACTAGGCTGGAGTTGGAAGAAACAGGGAAATGAAAAAAAAGATAGATTTGTTAGGATGCTCGTGTTAATAAATGTTACATATTTTTCTAAGATAAATAGGTATTTTTCATGAGGCTAACTTGTAGGGTATATCAATTAATTTTATTAAATGATGAAAAGATAACAACCAAATTAAGCCAAGTATTATATTTCATTAATTTTTGTTTAAATATTTTTATTTAAATTTGAGATACTTGTATGCCAACTAAAATAAAACATTCAACCCAAGAGCAAATATCAATACACTTACATACAGTAATATGCAACAATATATTTTTATCAAAAGTATTTTTTTTATTTTCATAACATATAGTGATTGGTATAAATACATGAATCAACATGAGTACACATTCACATTGCAGTTCATAAGATATTTCTTTTAATAGGAAGGTACCTCTTCAATTTAACATATATAATATCAATCAAATTTCCAAAACTAAACCTTTGCTTATTAGTCACGTTCTAGTCCATCTTTGTTGCATCTGAAGTGATATATATATATATATATATATATTAACTGTACAGATCTACTGGAACCATTTTCAGTGGTTAAACTACATTGTAATGATACAATAACAATTAGTATAAGCAACAGCATAGGTCAAAAATATCCTTAATTAATTGCATGCCAGAGGTTGTGTCATGGTGCTCTACATGTACATGTATGTTGCAAAGCATTTGGAATTGATGGGTGCTACTGTCATGAGGGTTGCAGGTTCCATTCATGTGGTCTTCATTTAAGCCTAGTAGAAATAAAAAATCAATAGCATATAATATTCCAACTATGAAAATATTCTTAATCTAATGATAAAAATAACATACCGGGAAAATTTACACACACATGCACACAAGAACTGACATAAATACAATAATAGTAATATCTGACAATTAAGTCTTTAAGCCACTGTATTGAACATTCTCAATCAACGACAGTATAAAAAATGGAAGGGTAAAAAAAATCTTATATGTACCCCCGTATTTAGGTTATTATAGACTACCCCCACCCCCCGCACACACTCGAGAGCGCATACACACCCGGTACGTGTGTGTGTGTGTGTGTGTGTGTGTGTGTGAGAGAGAGAGAGAGAGAGAGAGAGAGAGAGAGACGTAGAGAGAGAACTTACATTACTGCATTAAGATTCAGTGTCTTCAGAATGTACCTGTGGTCAAACCAACTTTAAAAACTACGGTTGATCTAAATTATGTCAAGATAAACATCTCATATTATGGACAAAGTGTGCCAGCGTAAGGAGCACCAAGATGTCAAATAATGCAAAGCCTCTTATTACTTTCAGCAGAACGGATTGGATGATGACGTCATTCCAGAAGAATGGCTTGAGGAAATACGAAGAAGAAAAAAACTTGTGTCCGAGGCATGCGAGAAGTACAAATCTGTAAAAATACCTCTGACAAAAGAGTGGATTAAAGAAAACGGCGACCATCTCATCGTAGAAGACCAGTATAAAATCATATATTGCCGCGTACCTAAATCTGGGAACACAAGTTGGAAGCGCCTTTTGCTAGCACTGTCTGGCATTATAAACGATACTTCTATGGCTCATGGCAAAAACGGATTTAACCCACGTGATTTGGTTAAAAAATATTTGCATACGTTGGATACACTGACGTTTTCGGAAGCAAAACAAAAACTTGAGACTCACTTGAAAGTAATGTATTTGAGACATCCTTTGGAAAGATTACTTTCTGCATATCGTAATAAGTTGGAAAACAATCCTTGGACGCATGAGGGTGTCTCATCGCAAGTGGTTCCCTACGTTATGAGGCACTATCGCGGTGTAGAACCTATTCTTCCCGTCAGTGTGAGCCAAAGCCGTGGACGGATATCTGGTGTCTTTCCATCTGGAGAGGAGTTCAGTTTTCCAAAAGACGAACCGCCAAGTTGGGTACCAAAGATAACATTTGAAGAATTCCTTCGTTACGTTGGTGACAACCCAAACTTTCTTAATGGTCATTGGGCGCCCCCAAACGATTTATGTCACCCATGTGTCATTCAATATGACGTCATAGGGTATTTTGGGACAATAAGCGAGGATGCAAACAATATCTTGAAACTGGTACATGCGTACCCAGCATTCAAATTTCCAAATATGTTCCTTAATCCAGAAACAACGTCTAATTTGGTACAAAGATATTATTCATCAGTATCAAAATCGACGTTGCAGAAAATTCGTCCAATTTACGCACTTGATGCAGCAATGTCAGCAGCTAATTTACGTATTTAGTTAAAGATGAAGAAGTTTTTTTGCCACAAAAGTCAACCAAATACCACTGCATCCAAATAGTGTAACTGGGAGGAATATCAAAAAACATCACTGAATATTACCTGAAAAATGATATTTGAGCAGATTTTCTGCTTGCTTTCTTTGATATAAACGTTTGATATAAACGGGGCAGATATATAGGCTAGATAAATAGGTCAAATTTAAGAAAAATTGAAAGAGAATTAAGGTGCAGTTTATAGCTCTTTTGTGGCTGATCGTGTGATTAATTCAGTTGATCCCTTGGCATTGTACACATTATTTTAGTCGTATGGCGCATTCAGAAAAGCAAACTAACAGATCCGCGGATCAAATATGGCCGACCCACTTGAATGCTTGTTGCGTGATCTCCAAGGGGAATCTATTCCCAATCTGTGCCCAATTAGAAGTTAAGCGGCAAGCTTTTAAGTGTGTCTCAAAATTTGATCCGCGGATCTGTTAGTTTGCTGCATCAGCCCCTAGAAACCAGTGGGGATTCAAGTTCCACAACGCTCAGTTCGAATGTATCTTTAAACTGATTTTGCGTTCTGTTAGCACCTCAGAGCAATTCCTGCACTAACGGCTGCTATGTCCATATTGATGGCGATGACAATTTACCGGTAATTTGGCGTCCTTAAGGTGGGAGCAATAAAATGGCGGGACTTAAGTAACGAGTTAAGTAACGGACTTAAAATGGCGGGACTTAACTAACGAGGCCTCATACAATTGTATGAGGCCTCGTTAGTTGGGCACCACGTTGGCCCCAATATCGGCAATATAAATAGATAAATAAATACGGAATTTAAATGAGCATATATCGTGTTTAATATCTAAAATGAATCTGCTTTTATTATTTGATACTAAAAGGGACGTAAAATTATTTGAAAAAAAAAAGCAAACACACACACACTCTATATACATGGAGACGTACATTGAGTATGGTAATCGGTAGAACGATAACAGTATATATTTGGATTATAAAGATGATTTGCCGGCATAATCACTTTTTCAGGTCTAATCTTGATAAAGGCGCAAAGAATTGATAAATTTCAGTTCTCATGCAGTAGTTGCCTGTCCTATTCATTACCAAGATCAATGCATGCTGATCAAATATTGATTCCAGTGAATGTAGAAAACTGCCCACATTATTGAAAAGACACCGCCAACTGGCACGTGATTACTACACTAAACATTGGTGAAAATAGTTCTTGGTGGAGGTCTTCGCTGTGGTTTTCTAATGGAATGGAAGGTCATCTCGATTCGTCACTGCATGCATCGAGACTCCTACGCACCGATTCCCCTCTCCTCCAGCACCTGTCGGCTGCTGCGTCGTCGTCCCCGTGCACTTGGTCTTACCAGCCAATATTTCGTCTGCTTGCAGTCTTACCAGCCAATATTTCGTCTGCTTGCAGACTTACCAGCCAATACTTCGTCTGCTTGCAGTCTTACCAGCCAATATTTCGTCTGCTTGCAGTCAGAAATCATCATGTTGTCACATCTATCACAACCTCATTCCCTGTCTGATAAGAACAGACATATACAAGTAGTTATAGACAAAAAGAATCTTCACAAGTCTATGGACCACAGTATCTTGATAGGCTACTGAGGGTCTCAGCAATGTACATGCAGTGCTTATGCCCCTATTTCACACAGACCACGAATCCCACGAATCGCCAGGAATTGAAAAAATTCAGGATTCGTGAGGATTCGTGAGATTTTGCCAATTTTCTGGTCTAATTCGATACGCTCTACGATTCAGTTACCATACAGGTGCGATAGTGTTACGAATATTCGTGGGATTCGAGAAAAGCACCACAACACCACAGCTTAGTTATCAAATCCAGGCCTACCCAACTACCAGACTCGGCACCTAATGATCCTGAATTCACCGGTAGATCGGACCACAACAGCCATTTTCAAGGATTGTATCAGTACGCGCTTCGATGTAACAGACGCGACACCGCTCTTGCCTAGAACGCGATGTGATAGTGATGATTCTCAGCGGGGTTGGAAAGTAGTGCATCTCATTTCAAAATTTGTTCCGGTGTAACATGAAAATCTGACTCCCCCAAAAATGTGACTCCCCAGTCAGATTTTCACTATGAAAATGTGACTCCCCAGTCAGATTTTCACTATGAAAATGTGACTCCCCTCATGAAATTTTGACTCCCCCCACAAAACTTTATAAATCTTATTTTATTTGAGTATATGGTTTTTATATTGTAGTATGCATAATGGAGGATACATTGGTACTTTTTGTTAGTTTGCAGCTGAAAATGTTAATGAGAAAATAAGAAAATTAAAAATGTGTATTTTCCACCCAGTGACTCCCCTAAGAAAAAGCTATTTGATATTTGGCGATCATTTCAACATCTTTCCCTTAAGTGCACTTTATGAAGAATATATTGGATATATCTTCATATTCATACCCATGGGATTTGGACTCCCATGAAGAAAAGGCCCTATTTTATATTCAGTCACCCCACAACACAGGCCCTTTTTCACATGGTTTGCATTGTGACGTATATTTTTTTAGCATTTAAGTTTGATGGTGAAAATTTTGGTGAACATTGATAATTTTTGAAACAAGCATTGATCTTACTAACTGTAGGATTTGGACTCCCGTAGTCTAGCCTTTTCATAGGAGACATTGGGTGGAAAAATACACATTTTTATTTTTTTTTATGTTCTCATGAAAATTTTCAAAAAGTGCCAATGTATCCACCATTATGTATACTACAAGATAAAAGTTATATACTCAAATAAAATAAGATTTATAAAGTTTTGTGAGGGGGAGTCAATATTTAATGGAGGGAGTCAGATTTTCATGGGAGTCAGATTTTCATATTACACCGGGTATGATACTGTGAAATGCGTATACTGACGCCGAGTGCCGAGTCTGGTAGTTGGGTAGTCCTGAAATCTATACTCTCTTTATTCCCAGGATGTTGCCTGGTTTTATCCAAAACCGCGTGGTTGTAAATTTACGTTAGATAAGTCCTAGTAAATTGAGATATAATAGCAATTACTACACGAAAGTAAAATGGGACCAATTAACGTTAGATTACATTGTTAATACGAGCAGCGTACCCATGCCCACGGCTCAATTAAAATCAATTCCCGTATTTAAGATATAATCTGCGGCCTGCACAATATGCGAAAATGTAGGGGGTAGAAACCTGTGAAAAGCATGTGGTTTCACCAAGAGGTAGTGCCTTGTGATTACGAGAAGAGGTAGTGTACACATCTAAGAGGAACACCATGCACTAGTACTGACAGACCAAATTCCTTATTCTGGTATCTATTCTGTCCTGCTATTAAGACAGTAGCGGAGAAACTCAAGGACTGCCTCACATCCCGATACTCTCCTGTTGCGGATCCCATGCCAAACGAACACAAACAACGGGAAAATGTTCACACCTTTATTCACGCACATACACTGACATGGTGAAACTAAAAAATAACAAAATAATGAAAGATAAACACCAAACTGATAATATAAAAATACACAAATATAATATAAACTGAATACAAATATAAAAAGAAATAATGAATTAATTATAAGAAATGGGAAATGTTGTGCATACTATAAATTTGGCTAGACAAACGACTTATGCTTTTACATATACATGGTGCAAATGGTTAACAATACGTTCAGAGAAATGTAGCTTTTCCCGCTCGATGGTGATCCACAGATTTTGCCGAAGTGACTACTAAATCCTGACACTTGGCGACCTGAGCCTTCTGCTCGTCAATTCAGCCCCCTTTACACTGGACGGCGTCCCTTCTGCGTCCAGCAGTTCGGCCCCATTTGAGAGTTAAAGAATTATAATACTTTACGTGCCGACAACTGGCCGATCATTGAGCATTCATTCTGATACCAAATCAATGCTCGTGCCTCCTTATTAAGACCACAGCGATGCCAAATTTCATGGTCGCAGAAAGGACGCCGGCC